TTTTTTTTAGTCCGGTTCAACATTCTTACTTTATAGTGAACAATTGGCACTACGGTATCAGCGGTGCCATCCACTGAAAAAAGTACTCCACGTGATTAAAATATCACAGTCTGTGGTTCATTTCTTGTCGTTGAGGAGTGGAGCTTTTCCTCATCGTGCGTGTGCTTTTTTTTTGAGAACATATGAAGATTCTCTTCTGTTAAAGTCTGACGGATGCACGTTTTGTCCTTATTGTCACACATCAATATTCCATGATGCGGCGCATCATTTTAATAGAAAAGGGTGGCAAAGAAATGACGGCCGCGTTGACGTCTGCTCCTTTGTTCATCTTTTTATTTCATGATGAATATTCACATCACGGGTTGACAATCACAAATAACATCTCTTTCATACCAAATATTCACAATTGCGGGGGGCGGGGATTGGAAGATGAGCTCTAGCTAAAAAGGTGGCTGTCTCTAACAAGCAGCAGTGACGTCGGTCGGTGTCTTCCGCACACTCCCGCTCTGGCGTCGCGCCCTCCGCAGTAACTGCACGCGCTCAAGCGGGCCCATTCGGCAGCGCCGAAAAGCCGTTTCCTGCGCTATCAACGTCAACCGTGCACACAATCGAAGACGCTGTTCATAATTGCACAAGAAATCGGTCGACTTGTACGAACAGGTATGCGGTATATTTTCCCCACGGGCAAACCTAAGCTTTTATTTTACGTGACGAGGATTCAGGATCTACATTTCAGCGCCGAAATGCTGGCAAGGCTTTGCACGTGCGTCTCTCCAACGCTGCCTTTCATTTTTAAATCGTCCCATAAGTTCAGAATGTATTCCAGGTAAATATACCAAATCGTGGTGGTGGTGGTGGGGGGATCTTTTTCAACAGTACAAATTGGTCCAAAAGAGTTTTGGTGTGTCGGCATTTTCGCGGTCCTTAAAATGACATATGTTACTTGCACTCCGTCTATTTTGGGGAATAGGCGATGACAGGAAGAAAGGGCCGGCCAGTGTGTGTCCTAACGAACGACCCGTACCGCATACAAGTCGACGGCTCAACCGATTTCTCGGGAACATCGAAGTTGACTTTCATTCCCGCTTGATATCCAAGCGTGTACGCCATACTTGGCGCCCTTTCAATGGCTCACTGAATTTGACTTTGTCATCCATCTTCCAGAACCTCATGGGAACAGACCTCATACATGAATTCTTAAGTTTCCATTTTGATGACATTTATAAACTTTCTTGAAATATCCGCGTCCCGGAATCGGGCAAAAAGAAAAAGTATGTTTTCCTTCATTCAATAATGATACCATTCGAAGTTGGAACAGGCTCTGTCAACGTCCACAACACCCCGTGCGGAAGTCTGATCTCGTGTGTGCTCGCGCGCTTGTTTTTTAATCAATTCAGGAGTGGTAAAAAGGCGCTGCTATCTACGCGCAGGGGGTAGTGACATCTTAGTGGGAAAGGTGGAAGTCCGGTGATATAATTGGACACAAACACATACGCGTGGGCATTAGCTACTTCTTATGACCTCGAGTGCCAAGTCGGAGAGCTGCGACACGAGCTAGGTCCTCCACACATATGAATTCCTTTTGATTCCGCAAGTACAATCCGACTGTGACTGTCATATGATCCTCTTTGTCGTATCATTCCTTCAAATGTCAGCGCTACAGTCGGTCTTTGCTACTGGGTCGGCATATAGCGTGTCAAATTTGGTTGCAGCTTGCCAGTTTCTGGGGCGAGCCAACAACTTTGTCACCGCAAACTGCAGACCTGTCAGCCTCCCACTTTTCAACCGGTCCGGTCGCAAGCCTTTTTCACCCTAAACGGCTTTGCGCGAATCTTCAATGTTCTATTGACATTATAAAGCGTCTTTGTTATTCCTGATTGGTCCGTTTCTTCGTAGTTCACCGTGTTATTTAATGTTGTTTTATATTTGTTGTACAGTAGAAAAACACTTAAATGTTTAAAAAAAAAAGTTAGTAAAATGTTTAAATACTCTTTGTTGTCATGACCAGTGCTTTAAAACCGGCAATTAAAAAGCAATGGGGGGGGAGGGGATGGTTGGCGCTCCACGAACGGCACGCGCTCGTCTCAACTGGCCCGTGGCAGAGAAAAGGTTGGGCCGTCTTTCCTTCTATTACGAGTTCCTATTGTCATACACACAAACAGCTTCCTATTTCTATCAAAGTGCAGTCATCTTTTTGCTCAGTTTGCGAATTACAGTGGAACGGCTTCAGGGGTAATCCATCTATTTCACTCGGTTCGATGCGTGTATCTCATGGGATCTGATTTGGAAGCTACCGTACAATATCAAGATGTGGTGCCTTTCTCTTCTCGTTTTCTTTGTTACTTGGATCAGCATACATTTCGCGATCAAGACCGCTAAACCAAGTTTAGAGCCTCAAGAAACGAACGGGCACCCCTAAAAGACATTTGAGGTTTCAAAAGAGGTGGTGCACAGAATGAGTGTGATTTGAAGAGTAGACTAGAAATAGCACGGGACGCAGCTCAGCTCCCTCGGACGGCCTTCGGTGTTGGGAGCCAGACTCTCGGTGTTTGGGAACGCCCCTCGGTGGTGGATTCTGTTTTGGAATGGCACCAAAACCAGTGGCCGACGAGTTGGCCACTCGTTAAAACTAATTGCAGACGACAGTCCGCTTGGTTTCGGTGCGGCGACCCGAAGAGATTGATAAAAGAAACATCACTAATGCCGACCTAAACAACACATCACGGGTTGACAATCACAAATAACATCTCTTTCATACCAAATATTCACAATTGCGGGGGGCGGGGATTGGAAGATGAGCTCTAGCTAAAAAGGTGGCTGTCTCTAACAAGCAGCAGTGACGTCGGTCGGTGTCTTCCGCACACTCCCGCTCTGGCGTCGCGCCCTCCGCAGTAACTGCACGCGCTCAAGCGGGCCCATTCGGCAGCGCCGAAAAGCCGTTTCCTGCGCTATCAACGTCAACCGTGCACACAATCGAAGACGCTGTTCATAATTGCACAAGAAATCGGTCGACTTGTACGAACAGGTATGCGGTATATTTTCCCCACGGGCAAACCTAAGCTTTTATTTTACGTGACGAGGATTCAGGATCTACATTTCAGCGCCGAAATGCTGGCAAGGCTTTGCACGTGCGTCTCTCCAACGCTGCCTTTCATTTTTAAATCGTCCCATAAGTTCAGAATGTATTCCAGGTAAATATACCAAATCGTGGTGGTGGTGGTGGGGGGATCTTTTTCAACAGTACAAATTGGTCCAAAAGAGTTTTGGTGTGTCGGCATTTTCGCGGTCCTTAAAATGACATATGTTACTTGCACTCCGTCTATTTTGGGGAATAGGCGATGACAGGAAGAAAGGGCCGGCCAGTGTGTGTCCTAACGAACGACCCGTACCGCATACAAGTCGACGGCTCAACCGATTTCTCGGGAACATCGAAGTTGACTTTCATTCCCGCTTGATATCCAAGCGTGTACGCCATACTTGGCGCCCTTTCAATGGCTCACTGAATTTGACTTTGTCATCCATCTTCCAGAACCTCATGGGAACAGACCTCATACATGAATTCTTAAGTTTCCATTTTGATGACATTTATAAACTTTCTTGAAATATCCGCGTCCCCGAATCGGGCAAAAAGAAAAAGTATGTTTTCCTTCATTCAATAATGATACCATTCGAAGTTGGAACAGGCTCTGTCAACCTCCACAACACCCCGTGCGGAAGTCTGATCTCGTGTGTGCTCGCGCGCTTGTTTTTTAATCAATTCAGGAGTGGTAAAAAGGCGCTGCTATCTACGCGCAGGGGGTAGTGACATCTTAGTGGGAAAGGTGGAAGTCCGGTGATATAATTGGACACAAACACATACGCGTGGGCATTAGCTACTTCTTATGACCTCGAGTGCCAAGTCGGAGAGCTGCGACACGAGCTAGGTCCTCCACACATATGAATTCCTTTTGATTCCGCAAGTACAATCCGACTGTGACTGTCATATGATCCTCTTTGTCGTATCATTCCTTCAAATGTCAGCGCTACAGTCGGTCTTTGCTACTGGGTCGGCATATAGCGTGTCAAATTTGGTTGCAGCTTGCCAGTTTCTGGGGCGAGCCAACAACTTTGTCACCGCAAACTGCAGACCTGTCAGCCTCCCACTTTTCAACCGGTCCGGTCGCAAGCCTTTTTCACCCTAAACGGCTTTGCGCGAATCTTCAATGTTCTATTGACATTATAAAGCGTCTTTGTTATTCCTGATTGGTCCGTTTCTTCGTAGTTCACCGTGTTATTTAATGTTGTTCTATATTTGTTGTGCAGTAGAAAAACACTGAAGTGTTTAAAAAAATGTAAGTAAAATGTCTAAATACTCTAGAATTATCTTTGTTGTCAATTAAAAAGCAATGGGGGGGGTGGTTGGCGCTCCACGAACGGCACACGCTCGTCTCAACTGGCCCGTGGCAGAGAAAAGGTTGGGCCGTCTTTCCTCCTATTACGAGTTCCTATAGTCATACACACGAACACCTTCCTATTTCTATCAAAGTGCAGTCATCCTTGTGCTCAGTTTGCGAATTACAGTGGAACGGCTTCAGGGGTAATCCATCTATTTCACTCGGTTCGATGCGTGTATCTCATGGGATCTGATTTGGAAGCTACCGTACAATATCAAGATGTGGTGCCTTTCTCTTCTCGTTTTCTTTGTTACTTGGATCAGCATACATTTCGCGATCAAGACCGCTAAACCAAGTTTAGAGCCTCAAGAAACGAACGGGCACCCCTAAAAGACATTTGAGGTTTCAAAAGAGGTGGTGCACAGAATGAGTGTGATTTGAAGAGTAGACTAGAAATAGCACGGGACGCAGCTCAGCTCCCTCGGACGGCCTTCGGTGTTGGGAGCCAGACTCTCGGTGTTTGGGAACGCCCCTCGGTGGTGGATTCTGTTTTGGAATGGCACCAAAACCAGTGGCCGACGAGGTGGCCACTCGTTAAAACTAATTGCAGACGACAGTCCGCTTGGTTTCGGTGCGGCGACCCGAAGAGATTGATAAAAGAAACATCACTAATGCCGACCTAAACAATTAAGATGTGACAAATCAGCTTTGCCCTTAATAGCTTTATCTGGTCCACCAGATTGTGATCCCCCCCACCCCTCCAAACATATGAACCTGAACTAAACTAAACATGCCAGCCATGACGCACGGGTCTTGTGCTAAATCCGTGTGCCCAGAAAGTTGTTGCAGAGACTTTTGTCAAGAGACTGCAAGAATATACTCGACACGATCCAACAATTTCGTCCCGTCCCGCTGACTGACGCGTTCGCCCAACACAAACAAAGCAGCCCACAGTCAGTAGTCAGCACGACTACTTCCCAAACCTGTTCCTCATCATAAACTGTCATTCACCGTCTCTGCTCACGTGACACCGATACCAATGTGGAATTGCAGATACAAGGGATTCAAAAGAGACAATGCTAAGCGAGCGCTGGGGACCGACAATGACACGCAGGGGCAGATTTACAAAATCATGACTTGTTGGCTAAAAGGAGAGCTGTGTCCATTTAAAGCAGATGGCGGCTTATTTGCTATCCGGCTGACTTTGGAAGGACGCTTCAAGCTGGCTCGGAAGGCGTGGGGATGGATTCTGAATGGAGGTGACCAGAAAGTCATTTGCTACTGGTTGGGGGGGGGATGTGTGGAGAGATGAAGTTACTTGATGGGGGGAGAAAAAAAAAAGAAAACATGAAACTGTCCAACTGAAAATCTGACTACGAAGCCTTGGGGTGTACAGTGATGGGATTTGAGGTTGGCATTTACGTCCTCTACGCCGGTGCTCATGAGCAGTACTATGAGTCGCGGGTTTCACAGACAAAACAACGAGTGCTCTTCTCTATGGTGGGGAGAGCCAAAAGGTCAACCCGTTGGCATCAGAGGTCAGGGTCGCGGTACTGGCAGGCGGTGGAGCCCAGAGAAACACGAAGAGGCGGACGTTCGGTTTGGTGCTGCAGGAGGCGAGATGGAGGGCGGGGCCAAAGGAAAGCCACCGTGGGAGGTCGCTCGGGTCGGCTGGCGAGCGCGACGCGTGCCCCACCGAAAACTCAATCTGTGGGAGGGAAGGAAGCCTCGATGAAAAAAACGTGGTCGGAAATGCGGCTATTTGCTTTCTTCATTTCAATGCACTTTTTCTTTTTTCTTTTTTTTCGAATTCAGGTCTGTGTTTTGTGTTTCCAAAGCAGAAGCCAGGAGAAATGATATTTTGCAGACCTTTGAAGGGCACCTGACTAAGGCAGTCACACAGCAGAACACAGATGAGAAGGACTCCAATCGATGCAAATAAGACAAATTGTGTGTGTTTGCACCTACTTTTTTCAGCAATGCGTCGGTCAATACTAAGGGCGTCCCTCAACCCGTCTCCTCCGAAAGGAGGAGGCGTGGGCTCCTTCACCCCATTTTCCTTTGCAACGCCTCCTGGTGCTGTTGTTGCCTTGGCAACAGCTGCCGGTCCTGCGCTCGGAGTGCTGTTTGGGGGTGAGGGCGTCTTTTCCTCCGCTCTCTCCTCCTGTTGCCGAATATAGACAGACGCACACGTGCAATTTATTCATGCGCTGCGAATCATGCCACGACCCCATCTAGTGGCGGTGACTTGTAAGAGCACAATGAGTCAGCTGACGTAGCCAAATGTCCGTTTTCGAACCGACGGTATACTACTAGAAGCTCTGACGTTTGGCGAGAGTCACCGGGCTGGTTGTACTCGACAAACAACCATTCGTGCGCACCCAGGGAGCATTTAGAGGGTTCCGTTTGCCTGCCGTGCATCTTTTTGGACTCTGGGAGGAAAGCGCAGTACCCAGAGAAAAGCCACGCAGCCATACAAGGACAACATGCAAACGCCACACTGGGAGGCCGGAGCCAGACTCCAACCCCGCACCTCTGCGCTGTGAGGCGGACGTGCGGACCGGTCGGCCGACGTGTTAATCGAGTTTCAATTCACTTAAAATAATTTGGAATGTTCGTGTGATTTCAAACTTCACATCGGAGGACCGAAGCAAAGGATAACAACTTTTTTTTTTTTTTTTTTTTTTATGATTTGTGAATAAATGATTCGATTCAAATTCCACCTTGTGTCCATTGGTCTGTCCGTTGCCTTGCCCCACGTTGTCCAATGAGCCAATCTTGGACTTTGCCTTGATGTTCAGCTTATGAGACTCAATCTTGACATCCCCGCCACCTGCGGTGAATGTGTTAATATGAGACCGGCTTCAAAGAACGGCCCGGTTGGAGAACAGGAAGAGAGACAACCTGGCTTGTGCTTGATGTTGTCCTTGGAGCCACACTTGGACGTAACCTTGCTCACATCCACCTTCTTATTCAGGATCTGCACCTAAGGGGCAGAGATTAAAAAAAAGAAAAAGAAAGAAAATTCCATGACTGCAAATATTGCTCATCTTGAACATCATTTTGGTACTTGAGTTTTTTGTCTTCTGCACCCCGATTGGCTACAAGACTGTCGATGCCAAAGCCAACAGCCTGCCCGCCTCGTCTCTGTACAGCTTGCCAAATTGACGTTTGCAACAAAAAAGATTTTGAGCTTTGGTTTCATTCCGTAGCACACGATTGTATCATTGTAAAAAATTAAGCTGACTGAAACGGTCGTGATTCAAAGATCAAGGTCAGATGAAAAGAAGGTACCGGCACCATTCTCCATGATGGTGGTATTTAGGTTATTGTGCCCCCTGCTGTTCGATTTGAGGGTTGCACGGAGTGGCAGGAAGCGGCTCGTTGCGTCAGTTTGAGGAAGAGAGACGCAAGCGGTATGTGGCCGTGACCAATGTGTGTCTCCCGTTGTTGAGATGGATGTCGGTATCTTGTGCACTGTCGTGTCATCGGCCCTCATTTTGACCCTAGTTTTTCCAACCCCAAAATGGCGTTCAACAGCAATGAGCGCGAGGACAATAAGGGCTGTCGAACATTATCGGTCGCCTCGTCTTTCTGAACTAGGGGGAAAACCGGATTTCAACTATCGCGGGTTCCTTTTGGAATGTAACCCCCGAGATAAACGAGGCTTCGCCGCCTGCCCAAAAAGAATCATAAGAATGAAAAAATTCAAGCAAATATGGAGTTGGTGTCCCCAACTCTCCTGTGCTGGGGACTGTCAAGTTCTTCCACTCAAGGGTCTCCAACCGTTCCATCAGAATGAGTTATGGCATGGCAAAGTTCAGTTTGGCCGCCCTTATTTTTAGCGGTGTGTGTTTTCAGTGCACTGCATGTTTGCACTGCGGTTGACAGGAAAGTCATTTCATCTATGCTGTATGTTGCGCAGAGAACATATTTGACAATAAAGCTTGACTTGACTTGACTTGATCGACGATTTCAGCGACGAAAGAATGAGTTGGCTTCAGACTCAGTTTGTGTCAAGGTAAATCGAGACCAAGGTTTGCGGTAAAGTGTCGTGACAGCAGAAATCATGCTTTGGGATACACATGCAAGTAGAGTTAAGGCACACGTTAACTCTAAAGACGATGAATGCTCAACTTTCACATTCATCGCCCTGAGGCACAGAAAAGCAAGGACACAAAACGGACCTTTAAGAGTGGGAAACTGACGAAGGTAAAGACGGCTCTCCGAAGTGCATCGATTTGGTGTCAATACAGCCCGGTCAGGGCGACGTGAGAAAATAGGCACACAGCCATGTCGCTTTGCATACCCACACTGCTGTTATCTTTTCGTTCCTGTTTTTTGTTGTTGTTGTTGTTCAGGAAGTAATGTTAGGCTTTTTTTTTTTAAAAAAGAGATGCTTAACCCAGCACAAATGTGGGATTCACTTTAAAAAAAGAAAGAAAAAAAAAATATCAAAGTCTCATTCCAAAGCAGTCTACTCTCATCAGCAGCAGCTTTACTTACATTGCCACCTCCAGGGACATGTTTGATATTGTCCTTGGAGCCGCAGCGAGACGTGACATGGCTGAAGTCCAGCTTTTTGTGCACTATCTGAACCTAAAGACAGTCAGGGAGACACATAGGCGAGCGAGAAAAGGATAGATCGGCGTCAGGTGGAAAAGTGTTAGAAGAGCAAAGAGTACAGACAGAAATGAGAAAGCAGCAGAGAAGAGCAGATCGGCCGGCGGCTTGAAGTTGTTCACGGGAAACTTGCGCTGCCACCCAAGTCTTTCTGTCGTCCCGATCAAAGGCTCCCCCGAAAATTGGCTGGCTGTCGGAACATCGGCTGAATGGAGCCGATACACGGGGCTGCGCTTTTTTTTTTTTTAAACAACTGTGCAACCGGGCCGTTTTCAACGGAATGGTAGACACAAAGTCCAGTTCCAAAGATGAATGTTGAATATGGGAAAAGACGAGGGCGCTGACGTGATCGCAAAGCGCTTCCGGTGACAGCGGAAGATCACGCGAGCAAAGGACAGGTGAGACGGAGCACATGCAACACAAAACATTCAGGGCGACTTGGGGCACACGACATGAAAGGATGTTGTTCAAGCGATGCCGGGTCTGAGCAAAAACTGCCAGGATGTTTGGCTGACAGAGAACGTTGATTTCCACTCGGGTCGAGGTCAAGCCATCAGCGTGCGCGCAGCCGTTACCCCGGACATCAAGTAAATCCGGCCACATCCCAGGATCACTCAGCCAATCGCTATGAACCGGGTGTTGTTATTGATTTTTTTCGCAAAAAGCTGAGGTCACACTGGTTTGAATTCTCACGCTCTTTGTTTTGGAGTCTGTCAATCCTCCATCGAGCGTCTCCAGTCGCACCAGAACGCCGCTGCTCGCCTTTTGACCGGAGCACAGAACTCCTACTCTGGCATCCCGTCACTGGCTCATTTGAGAGTTCTTTTGAAGATCCCGTTCGATTTGTTTTCAAATCTGGAAATGGCCCCCTTGCTGCCCATCTTGAAAATCTCGCCTTCAAACTCATTTTTACTCTTTTTATTCTTCCCTCACAGTCAGAAATATGTTGACCTTTCCGATGGCCTGTGACTGACAGGGCCTCTACCAATTTGCCACATTAAGGTCGTGAGATATCTGGGGGGGGCAGCTTGCCCAATTTTCTCCATGACATCATCCACATTGTCGAAAAAACATTTTGTACAGTGTTTCTGAAAACTGTCAGTTGTTTGGAAGAAAACCTTGACAGCTAGCTAGCTAGCTACCTAGATAGATAGATGGATTTATTTATTTGTTGTTTTTTTAATGCTTAGGCCTGAAAAAAGGTTTCAGCTTTGGTTTCATTCACTACACTATTGTAGCGGATACGGAAAAATTGTAATTTCACTAATCTGGAGTTCTTTTTGGAATGTAACCCCCGAGATTAACGAGGGATTCCTGTATAGAAAATAGTTTGAGAGTCCACCCTCCCTTCTCACTTTGGGGTCATGTCACGAGCCGCTGAAAAATGATGGGCGGACGGCGAATGGCCCCCGGCCCTAGGTTGGACACCACCGATTTACAGTCTTCAATCAACTTATTGCTCTTCATTTAACACGCACGGTTTTGCAATGTGCCAGGAAGCCCGAGTCAAATAGTTTTGCGCACGCGACAAGTGGCCCGTTTGTTGTGAATTCTGCGACCTTTCGGTCAAACGACTTCATTCGTTGCTTCTTGGCGGCAATTAGCTGTGGTGCAGCACCACGCCTCAACCGCTTTTTGGCCGAAAGTGTAACACCATGAATCCCGACGACCATCTGATGCCTGCAGACTTCCGCTACATTGCGCACCTCTGACTCCATCTTTGGTCGGTGCACCGTATGTGGTCAATGCAAAGAGAAGGAAGTTGAGATTGATGTGTGAATATGCGCATGGCGGGGACTCACTCTGGCCTTGGAAGGATTGGATGGGTCTGCTGTCTTGTTGTTCTGTACGGCAGAAACCTGGGGAGACAAGGGTCAATAAACCTCCGAATCTCCCGCTCCATTGCACTTAGGTCGAGGATCACTTTGGAAATGCAAGCGGCGTACGGCGCGATACACTTCACCACTCATCTGCGGTTTCAAATGTCATTTCTCAGGCGTAAATGCGGTCGACATATACTTTGAAGTCCACACAATCACATTTTGATTGCATCGTTTCAAATTTGGTCAAACACTTCCAAGCGCAGGATCGGATTTCACAAGCGATCAGGCCAAATGTCACACATCCACACGCAAATGGAGTCAGATTGCTGGTGAGTGAAGAGGAAAAAGGGAACTAACCTAGTGGGCCTATATTGAGAGCGACACAATGCGTGAGGCGACCGAATAGACCGACAAATATCAGCGCTCGTCTACGAAATGAGCAACCCGCCGCCGGCACGGAGTGCATTCACACCAGTGGTGTCCAATCTACGGCCTGGGGCCATTTGCCGCAAGGTTAGTTCATGAAGGTGAAGGTGGACAGAGTGAGAAGGGAGGCCGGCCTGGAGAACTTTTCTCGAGAGTACAAAGAAAGCACCGCTGATGAAAACTAACTAACCACTTTTTATTTTGATCAAAACACTCTGGAGTGGATCAAGATCATTCCATTTGAGAGGCAAAAATAGTTTCTTGCACTTTGTGGTCGATGGCTGATTGTTTTTGTGCTTTCCACTGTCTTTGTGATTGTTTGTCGTTGGATGAATTTGATTTTTGCTCCATGTCGAGCACTTGGTGGAGGGCGGCGGTTGTTCGAAATCTGCCGTGTGGTCCAGAAATTCCGTAACTGTAATAAGATGACAAAGATCGAACGAGTCGCTGCTTTTAGCGCTTTGCTACTGGCTAAATGTACTATGCGAGTGCAACGCATGACTTTGGTAGGGCGGCACCTCCCCCGCCAACACTGGCAAAGAGTTCCCCCTTTCCAAACAAATCAGCCACTTTGGCTGGGTGATGCCCCGGCGACGTTGGGTGGGAGCGGCTTCGCCGTTAGCCGGCGTCGTCGGAGAGGTGCTGGAGGGTGGTCGCGGACGGGCTGCAGAGACGCAAACCACTTTCAGCCCTTAAAATGATCCTCTAGGAAAGCAACTTCAACAGTTAATCTGGACTTCTATTTGGGTTTTACAGCCAAAGTAAATGTGGCCCCTCTACAAAAATGAGTTCAGCGTCTCACCTGTTGGTTTGTTTTTCTTGGCCTCCGCTGACTTGCTCTCGGCCTTGTCATTCTTGTTCGCTATGCAAAGGAAGCAGCAAAAAAATGTCACAGCGCCACTTGGACACGTAGCAACCGTGGCGAACGCGTCTCACCTGTCGGTTTGTTTTTCTTGGCCTCCGCTGACTTGCTCTCGGCCTTGTCATTCTTGTTCGCTATGCAAAGGAAGCAGCAGACGAATGTCACTTGGACACGTAGCAACCGTGGCGAACGCCGGACTCCTTTCTTTCACCACATTTTCAGATGAGTCGGGGGCGAGGCTGTTTTGCGCGTCGGTACGCCCAGACAGGGACAACACTGCCCGAAATGCGCTCGACTGGACTGGCACGAAACTGTTCCTCCTACCGGTTTTTAAGCCGAGTGCACAGGCCCCAGTGTACCCCGCCCGGAAAAGGGGGCCGATGTCTCTTTTCATTATTATTACAACGGGGCAAAAAAAGTCTATCGAAATCAAAACTAACACCCCAAAACGGATGGCGTTACCACGGAGGTTACACTGTAGTTGGCTAAAGCATCTACAAAACAAACCCCAAAATTTGCTGTTCTGTAAACGTGTGTGTGTGTGTGTGTGTGTGTGTGTGTGTGTGTGTGTGTGTGCGCGCGCTTTGATTTACCAGCAGTTTTGGTCCCGGTAGAAGCAGAGGAGTTGTCCTTATTGACAACCGATCGGGGGGTGGGAGAAGCCTTTTGCACAGCTGCTCCATTTTCTGGAGTCTGAGGATCAAACCAAAAGAGAGGTCGGTTCTTCTGCGTCCGTGTCAAAATTGATTCACTTTCAAAGGTCAGCGGTGTGCGGAGAAGGAGCGCACAGAGACAAAGCGAGCTGACAAAGTGATTATAAAGACGCGAAGCAACTTTAGCGATAGAAATACTGGAAAGAAAGTGTTTTGAGATCATCGTGGTACAAGCAGTTTTTCCAAAGAACAATAGGCAGTGACATACAATAAAACCATGAAATAAAGTGTCGTCAAGCCTTTGTTTGCAGCGATCTTGGAGTAAGGGCTTTCTTACTTTTGCAGATGCGGCGGCCATCGGAGGCCTCTTCGCAGCAGTGGGCGTTGCCGCCTTTGGGAGAGGGCTTTTTCTGTTAGCCGGGGTCGCGGTTGGGGAGGGGCGCTTGGCTGAGGCGGCCTCGCCATTGGTAGGGAGGGTGGAAGGGCGAGATTTGGGGGCGTTCGTTTTGGTCCAAACCGCCTCAGTCTGAAGGTTCGGATACCAATCGAGTGACCCGCAGGAAGACATGATGGGCAGAAAAAGACAAAGAAAGACAAAGGGAAGAAGACGTGAATAACTGGGAGAAATCGAAAAAGAGCAAGCAGGAGCGGAGTGAGTGATGGCAGCGCGCAGCCTCATTCGGGTGGCGGGTGGCCTGGAACCCATCCCAGCGGGCTTTGCAAGAGAGGTGGGGACACACCCCGGATCAGTCGCCAGCCAACTGCCATCGAGAAGAGCTCGCATTCACACTCACAATCGCACCGAGTGAATGGGCACTTTCATGCTTTAGACAGTGCGCGTGTCAGATCCACCAAGATGCACCTTGCTCTTGGTGTCGGGGCTTGGCAGGGTCTTGGCGGCATTGCCCGTTGGAGACTTGGCCGGCCCTTTGCCCCCTTTCTCGTCCTTCTTTTCACTCAGCTTCTTTTCCTCTTCCTTGTTGTTCTTCTCCGGCTTGTCCGTCTTTTCTGCCTTCTCGCTCACTTTGTCGTTTTTCTCAGCCTTGGTCCCGTTTTCATCTTTGAGAATCTTCTCGGGCTTCGGGTTCTTGTCAGGGCCGTTGTCTTTGTTCTGCTTCTCCGCCGTCTCCTTCTTGCCAAAGGCGTCCATCTTTTCCGTCTTGTCCTTGTCCACTTTCACTGAGAAAGTAAGAGTGACAAAATTAGCACCAGCCTATTTTAGTCCCTTTCTCAAGACGGAATTCCAACGTCAATGGACAAGAATGCTTTGGCAAATGAAAACAATGATTCTTCGAGTGTCAAGCTAAAAAGGACTCATCGAGGCACGTTCCTGATCAACACGAAGAGAGCGTCAACAACACAATTCTTAATCAATGCTCACGAGGGTCGCAGGCGTGCCACGGAGCCTATCTTTGGGCAGTCGGCGGCCCCCCCAAACCGGCATTTGCAGAGCACACATACACAATTCGCGCTCACAAACACACCTGGGGACAATTTGGAGTGCCCAATCAACCCACCGCGTATGTTTTTGGAAAGCGCCGAAGTACCCGCAGAAGAGCCACGGCGGCGCAGGGGGGAACACGCAAACTCCACACAGGAAGGCCGCAGCCGGAATCCAGCCGTGCACCTCTGCACTATCAGGCGAACGTGCTAAGCAATCGACCGCCACGCCAGCCTTAAACGATGGAATGAAAATCATGAGTGTGATCCCTTTGCTGTGCTGCAAAATCTGGACAGAATTTGCTTCAAAGAAGGATGGCCCCCGGCCCGCAGTTTGGACAACACCGATTTAGATCATGAAAACGCATGTATTCAGAAAGGCAATGAAACAGTCATGGTAGTGACAAAGTAGGATTTGAAAATACATGGATATCTGTTCATGAGCAAGAAAATCACACCGTGTTCAACATTCGCAGGGACGGTGGATCAGCGTCTGATTATTTTGGGTGAGACTGCGAGCAGAAGCTTGTTGGGTCAAATATGGACACAGATACACTTCCTGCTGTCTGTGCAGCCATCGTTTTAAAATCCTGAAGATCACGCCACGAGAAACTCAGCGTTGAAACACACCTGCGTGCGCGTGCGTTGCACGGAGACTGCTCAAAATAGATGCTCTATATTTGAATGAGCGCAGCCAATGCCGAATGAATGTTGCAGCTTTTTCCGGATAATTGCTGTCTCTCAACAGATCTGGTTGCTCCATCGTTCCGTATACGATTGAAAGCGTATTGGAATAGACTACAACAGAGGAAATAAAAATGCATGCGTGGTTTAACTTTAATCGGCTTTAGGGGTGCAGCTATCAAATATTTCGGTATTCGGATATATGATTGAAAAAATATTGGTTATTGGTACCGAAGACAAAAAAAAGGCTTTTCATTCTAGGTGCAGCTATCAAATATTTCGGTATTCGGATATATTATTGAAAAAATATTTCCCCCTCTTGGTTATTGCTACCGAAGACAAAAAAAAAAAAAAAAAAGGCTTTTCATTCTGTACTTCAATTTAATCTGTGCATAGCAGCCCACTATTTTGCTTTTGAGAAGCATTCGTGACAAATCTCTCCCCATAAGCATCGATTTTGGACGATAAGACGAAGTGACGTCAGAAGCGCAGTCGCGATTTTTGCCGGCTAAAACAACAGACTTGCGTCAGCCTGGTTTGTTCAAACGTGACCATTTGGAACGTCAACCGTGTCAGGCCGTCAGCATCAAAGCGCGCAGAGACCTTGACGTCGAACCGCCCTTGACAAGTAATCCGACGGCTCTCGCCAGCCTATATGGACCGCTCCAGCGCTTGCTAGCACTGCAGCCGCCGCTAATTTCCAAATTATGTGGAAAAACAAATGCAGTGCACACATCCTGAAAGTTGTGCTGGAAATGCATTCTTTCACAAAAAGCTCTTTCTTCCCCCAATTTTGTTTTCTTGGAAACGAGCATTGTCGAGAAATTTACCAAAGTTCAACCGCTGTTCACTAGACAATGGTTCTTGATGAAAGAGGAGGGTTCCCGCTTCCTCTTGCTAGGCTCCACATGCTTCTTCTGCAGCTCGAGAACTCCATTTTCCGCAGGCCTTCAAAATGGTCCAAAACGGCCGGCAGCAGCTCTCCCGCTTGGCTGGCATTGAATGAGTTCAAAGTGTTCCATCACTGAGGATGAGTTGAGTTGATGATGAAAACAGTTTTACCCCCGGGGAGATGAATTTCCAGCCAGCATCTTCCCAATCCCAAAGAGAATCCCGGCACGGACATGCCTGCGTTGCGTTCAAGTGCTGATCGACACTTGTGACCGCCAATGAGCCGACGGTGTTTTTCCAACGGCCTTTTGGGGTGCGAGTGGACATTCAGGTAACATCCATACATACCTGCCGGAGTTGGCACAGAAATGAGAAGATTGGTCTCGCGGCTCCCACGATGCCTCCGAGGCGGCGGAGATGACGGCACCACCGGTGAGATGGCGAATGGGGACGAGAACGCCGAGGCCGTCGCGGCTGAGGCGTCCGTCACGGTGAGCGAGCGCCGCACCGCCGTGTGCGGGTAGGGCGCCCTGAGCGGACACGCCGTTCCCGTCACGGCAAAGTTGGGCGCGATGGCCGACGAGCCTTGCGTACCGCTGAGGTGCGGCTCGGCATTGAAGGCGGGAACGCACAGGCGGGAGCAGTCGGACATCGCTCGTCTGACCGCGCTTCGCCGGGGCGGCTCGTCGGCCGGCGTATTTCTCGTCTCGCCGGTTACTGTGACGTCGGAGGCCGCTTCGCGGTCACCGCTATCATTTGACTCTCGTGACTTTGCATCGCGACTTTCTTTCCCATCTGTGCCGGGTGGGGCGCACAGCTTTCCCTTTTCCTCCCCGACGCCGCAGGCTTGCTTCGATGAGGCAGGAAACGCCGAGAGCCTCGGAGACGGCGCCATGTGACTTCCTGCGGGGTTGGCGACACGTTGAGCGGCGGCTTGTTCATCAGGATTTTGCCCCCCGATCGGTGACTGCAATCCCGTGCCTTCAATCAGCCCGGCCTTTTCTTCTTCAAAATCCTGCCCTTGTCCAACTTCTTGGGAGGGCCGAATGCAACCGCCATCTCTGCTCCGGAGAGAAGACTTCAAGTTTGGTTCCGAGTTGACGTTTGCTGCGGGCTTCGGTGCCGGTCCGCGGTGGAATGATCTCCCCGGTGAAACTGAAGGAGACGTTAATGAAGAGGAAAAGGAGGAATAGGGAGAAAGAGGGCTGCTGGGAGTTTGTCCCGCGCTCCCGAGTGAGCCGACCCCCTTTTGCGGTCTCCCACCTGTTGGTTCGTCATCTTCTCCGCTCAGCGCCGGCATATTTAGAGCCAGGGTCCCCGGTGCAATTCCGAACATTTTGTCGTGTCCGTCCTTTTCTCCTGCAGCTGTGTGACCGAACCCCTTTCTATTCAGTCTTGGTCTTTTCCTGAGGAGGTCTTCTTGCTTGTTCGTTATCCACTTAGGGTCATCGGGGTCTTGTCCAGTAAGGAAAATGCTCTAAATATTAGAGCTTAAAAAAAGGTGAGGGGTGAGGTGGGGAGATAGGCTGAAAGAAATCCTTTTTAAAGTGATGCCTTGAAGTGGTTTGAGTGCACCATCGTGCGAGAAGTGCATGTGTGCAAAGTGCATGTGCATGTCTTAACAAACAAGGCAGGAGTCGCAGAAGAGCGAACGCGCGTCTGGTTTGTCTCGCTTCCTCTTCGAGCACTGCACGGATCAGCTGTGGGGATAAATTACACCTTGCTCTCTCTCTCCCTCTCTCTCTCTCTCTTTCCTGACATCACCAGGTCACATGACAACCGAGAATATGCCCTCATTCGCTGCTGCTAAATTTCATCCGGTCCCTAGCGACAAACATGCACAAGCATACGTGAGAGTTCCAGTTCCATCAAGGCACGTACGGGTCAATGGCTGTCGTGCGATTGAGCTGGCACACTTGACGACCACCGCCTCCCATTTTGATTTCAACTGGGAGACACAAGGAAAGGAAGCACCTGTGCCGGAGCCTATCCCAGCTGTTTCGGGGCAGGAGGCGGGGGACACCTTCAAGCGGTTGCCAGCCAATCGCAGGGCACGCATGGGCTTTCAAAAATAAGTACAATGAATGAATAAATGGGGAGGAAAAATGGATATATCGGCCCAAATCTTGCGGCGGAACCGGCCGCTGGTTTTGCCTCTATCCAAAATTTGAATCGCCGTCGCCCGATGTGGCGACGTTAAAAATGATATCCAATCGCACGGAAGCTTTTGCATGGGCGAAAATGGACGTTCAAGACCGAGCCGCCCATCATGTGCCAGCAACACAAACACTGTGTTTTCCAACAATGCTTAACCATATTTATGATTTCATATGTACCCGTGGATGACATAGTGAAGCATGTGGTCAAAATATACCTGGACACGAGTTAAATATACGGTCACACTCAACTGAATGCCTGTCAAGATTGTACACGTATTCTTCCCCCATGCCGTCTTTCTGTAGCAACCTGCCTCTACCTTGACTGACAGTCCATCTTTTCATGGAGTGCAATTTTTTTTTTTTAAAGTGATCGGGAACTACATGTGGGATGAGGAGCCTAAGAAAGCCAAACGGCTCACATCGCAAGGAGTCCTTACGCCAAATGGTCCCATGTACGGGGGTGAGTAGCCAGCTGACAATTTTCGCGACGGATTCGGAAGCATCGTGCAGCGTAGGGCGGCCCGAACAGTACTAATGGGCACGTCTCGAGGCATTTATGACCGGTCCCAGTCCGTCCCTTGTCAGGGACGGCCAATCGGCATTGACAACGTGATTTCCACATCACTTTTTTTTTCTGCATTTGGCAGCGTGTCAGGTGTGCGGCATCTGCGTGTGACGCACACAGGTCGAGGTCACAGTAAATGATCTTTATGAAGGTCAGATATTTCTGAGCAGCTGGAGATACGGGAGCCAAGAGGAGACAGAGGATGCTACAGCTGCCTGCCTGCGGTGCTGAGAAAAGAGGCAGAAAAGGGGGTGGCGGAGGGAGGAGGGATCTTGTCACAGTGTTTCTATTTTTACTCTTCAACCTCGCTGACTGTCACACCCAGTCCTCTCCTTCTCTCTTCCTCCATCCCTCACTTGCAGAGTGGCTCAGTTGCTGTGGCAACCGCCTCCCACATCTCCCCGACAACGCCTTCCCCTCCTCACCTACACTCTCGGTCGCCCGCCCCACCCCTGCAGTGCAGATGCAGTGATGATTGCGTTGTGGCAGAGACTCAAGAGAATCTGGGCAGCCAATGGAAAGGGTGATGTGGTTGTAGAAGACGGAAAGGGCAAAAAAGAAAAAAAAAAAGATCGATAAAGGAGAAATAATAAACGCGGACAGAAAGGGAGCTAAGGTTCGGATACAAAGAAGGGAAAAAAATAATAGGAAAGAGGGGAAAAAAATTTCATGAGTCATGTTCCTGATGCAGTAGGTCAGGGATGGGCAACTGGGATCCTACGCTCCGAGTGGCCCTTTGATGAAATAATAACAATAATATTTTTTTTAAATAATAATAATAATGTTTTAAAAATTCGTGGTACTTCCAGTAGTGTCTGGTCCGCAGACCTGAAGCACTGGGCAGTTGCGGAGGAGCTCAGAGAGGTCAGGTGGGGCCAGGCCATTTCAAGATTGGAAACCAAATCTAACGGGAGCTTCAAAAGAACTCGAAAATGAGCCAGTGAAGGGATGCCAGAGTAGGAGTGAGGTGCTCCCTCCGACGAGCTCCAGTTAGGAGGCGAGCAGCAGCATGGTGGACCAACCCCAGACGCTTCATGGATGATTGACTGACTCCAAAGTCAAGTGCATGTCAGACATCCAGATGCCGAGATGCGACAAAGGAGTCGTGGACTCCTGATTGAGTGTCCATCGGCCAACGCCGTGCGTTGATGGGGCGAAAAAACTTGTGGAAAGACCCACGGGGGTGAGTGAGTATTCCTCGCTGCATCAGCGTACAATGAATTCAATCAACAAAAGTTAAATGAACAAAAGCTCGTTGATATTTTGGGCGAACGTGAACTGAACGTAGTGAATTCCTGCCTGTGGTCAAAAGAGCGCCATGTTCCATCCGTTTCACGGCTAAACACGGGCCGTTTTTTCAGGGTGCAGACAACCTTCCAGTCAAGTGCCTGTCCTGTACATGCACAATTAAAAAAAATTATAACAACAACTAGGAACTAGTTCATTTGGGGGAAGATGAACTTCATTTTGTTTTTCTAAACTATGAACTGAACAAGTTGATGAAAAACAAAATTGTGAACCGAACACTCAAGAAGTTAGTGTGGAAACGGTGATTTGCCGATGTCGCTACAGCCATGCCAGTCACGCAACGGGCAAACCGCTTTTTTCCCCGTGACAGTTCGATGCTCATTTGTCAACGCGGGCTCCCTTCTGCTGTCACGAGATGCCACGACTGGCGAACTCGAACCACAAAAGTTCATCTGCCATCAAGATATTTCAAAAGCTTTGCCATGCAAAAAAATACCGAATGGATATGAAGAGATTGCGGCAATTTCTGTGATGGAAATGCAAACCAAACAACAACAATACAGATCGAATGGATTGTATGTGAGTCGTGAGAGCTCATTGTATTACCATGATTATTCTGCGGTTAAAAAAAACAAAAGCGTGACCTGAACATGGCACAAATATGACCAATTGAAATCTCACTTACCTGGTGCTATGTTGACAGCGTCGTGAGAGTGAGAAAGAGAGAGAGAGAGAAAGAGAAAGACAATTTTAAGAATCATCACGCTTGACACACAGACACACACACACTGAAAAACTCGATTCAACTTTGAAGCAACAGATTATCACAAAAGATAAAATCAAGGAAGTGAAAAAAACGTGTGGGGTGGGGGGGGCGACAATGTCTAATTTAAAGTTGAGACACACTGCCACTTACTGGTCAGGTTGTAGTGATGAAGGGCTAAAATATCATGAAACGAAGGCTTCAATCAACGCAAAACGGATCGAGTGGAGCCGGAGCGTTCGGGCAAGAGGACAAAGCCAATTGCGACCCAGCGGGAACGTCCGTCGTGTTCGATATCAATAAAAACAGATGACAATCAACGCGAATCAGGTGCAACCTATATTTAATTGAATCCACGACAAAGACAAGGTCGTTCAAGTTCAAAGTGATCAACGTTCGTGGTTTTCAAAAATAATCACAAATTTTTTGAGTTTGATGGCTGCAAAAAGCTCGGACAGGGTCATGTTGGCCACTGGGTTACATCACCCTTTTCATTCATCCATTTTCTAATCCGTTCCATCCTCACGGGGATCGCGGGGTGTGCCGGAGCCGATCCCGGCCATCTTTGGGCAGTAGGCGGGGGACACCCTGAACCGGTTGCCAGCCCCATGGCGGGGCACCCGTAGACAAACAACCATTTGCGCTCACAATCACGCCCGGGGGCAATCGCGAGCGAGGCTTATGAGGGTGAGCGGATCAGAAAATGGAAATCAGAAAGAATTCCTACTGAAACATCGGAACTTTATTTGGTGGGAAGCAGAGGCACGTTCAATGGTGGCGGGTGTGCGCTGACTCCCTTTTAACATTGAACTGATTATTTCAGCAGAAGAAGAAGGAAAAAAAATTGCATCGTACAGTTTCGAGGTGTCCGTAATGGCAGAGATAGTTTCAAAATCGTTTATAATTGGAAAACAGTTGCGGAGACTTTTAATATCCACCGTAGCAGCGCCATCTATGTACGTTTTAATGTATTTTACCCGCCATCTCGTCTTTCAAATGACTGTCATTTCTACTTTTAGCATCCCGACCGTGCAGATGGAGAACTGCGGCTGCGACTTTCTTCTTCGCACTCCGGTGACTCTGGTGAGGTTTTCGATGGCGAGAGGGCGCTGCGGAAAGTTAGACAAGCGGTTGCCTTGAAGAGGAAGGACGGAGGAGAAAAAATTTCCCTCGGCTGATGCAGCAGTATGAAAGAGGTTACGGGTGAGGTTATGGAGCAACACAGGAGCGGCAAAGCAGAGCGGGAAACCATCAATCTCAGATGAAAGGGTTGTCAATTTGGAGGCCGGCTCAAACAAATGAGAGGCGTCCAACGGTGCTGCAAGCGTTCACCAAGTAAGTCGCTCGCCGTTAAGAAGCCTTCTGGTCAAGTCACAAAGCCTGAAGTGTTTCTTCAATCGTTTGGGCTATTGGAGGCTCGCCCGCCGGACCCTCGTCATGAAAAAACACGGCCCGAGCCGGCCCTGCCGGCCGCCAACAAAAATTGCATGCACAGCACCAGACAAATGAACGCAACTTGCTGCTGGATACAAGCATGAAGGGTTTTGGATTATTCGCCCCGTGTTAGTCATACTCTTCCCCGTCGTTCACCAACCTTCCAGCGGGGAGAGAAGTGGCGATGCGGACTCCTGCTGCTTGGGGTGTGTAAGGAGGGAGGGAGCGACCGCAGGTGGGGTGAACGCGGCGGGGGTGGCTTCGGCTTTGGCGGGACTTTTTGGCGAAGCTGGCTTCACCACCGATTCGCCGAGAGCGGAAGGAGGATCGACCGCAGTGCCGGCGATGCCGGCCGCGGGGGCGATGCGTGAGGCTGAGGGAACGAAAGGGCGAGCGTCAACGGTGAGGACCGATTCGAGGGCGGCTTTCGAATATGGGGTTTGGGCGACGGCGGAAGGGCGGGGCTTTGGCGACACGGCAAAGGTTGGAGGGGCATCCGACGCGTAGGGGTCGAGGCCAGAGGGGGGTCCTGAAGAAGGGACAGGGACATCCGTTGAGACGGACGAGGCAGCCGTGGCGAGGAGAGGCGTGTTGGTGATCGGGGTGGCGTGCTGTGAGTCGGGGGTAGAACCCGGCGGTGTCTGGAGGACCGCATCGAGAAAAGAGAACGTCTGGGAGACCGGGCTCAGATCGCCACCCGCCGTCAACGCAAAATCCCCGACCGCACTACTCTTGTCGCTCGCGTTGGCGGGGGCGCTAACGCCGGTCACGTTTCGCCGGTCGCCGGTGGACATCGGGTAATCTTGGACACTCCCGGTCTCAAAGGAGCCGAGAGACGAATCTGCTGCGAGTCCATCACGGGAGCGATTGGTCAAACCTGTCGCTATTTGCATCGGTGCAGAGGAACCTTGACCGGGGTCGGATTTTCCAGCTTTGCGGTCCAAAGCGCCAAAGTCCGTCGCCGGAGTCCAGGTCGGAGCAACGGCGGCTGGTATGGGCGACGCCGGTTGCTGGGGCGCTCCCCACTCCTCTGGAAGTCTCGCCCGACTTTTCGACTTCTTGCCTTTCACTCTCCCGCCCGCTCCGCTCTCTCGGACTTCCCACTCCAGGGCGTCTGCCTCCTCGTCATCCTCCTCCGCCTCCCGTCCACCCTGGTCCCGTTTCTCGGAATGGCCGTTTTTCTCCTGACTATCCAAGAAGCCGTATGCCTCGTCGCGTCCCTTCCTCTTCTTCTTCTTCCGCCTCTGCTGTTGCTTGCCGGCGTCACACCCTGATCGCTCAGGACTGAGGGGTTCAGAAGTGGAGGAAGTGGGGCTGCTGTCTTCCACCGAGCCGCTGGGAGAAGAAAGGGGGGGAGCTGCCGAGGGGGGAAGGTTTCATAAGAGCAGGAACCAGTCACATACCGTGTCGGAAATCAAAATCAACCCGCAAAAAGAAGCTCGTCGTGACCCAAAGTCTTTTTTGACTTCCTGGGTTTTGCTCTTTTAAAACGACTCGGATGTCATACGCATCCGGTCTCATTTCATTTTGTCTCCTTCACGTGACAACACGATATCACACGGCCTGCTGTATACCTTTTCAGGTTAGGGTTTTTTTTTTTTTTTATTGGGGGGGCGGGAGCAGAGAATGCTTGGACCTTAAAACGCATTTGCTCGTTGGAGTGCCACTATGGTCACATCGGCCTGTCGCTATACCGACTTATCATTCAATGAGACATAAATGGAGATGATCGTTTTTTGGGGACAGGAGAAATGGTCATTTGCACGCGTGTTTGTTTCCACAAATCAACAGACACTCACGCTGCTTTCCTCTCCTGTCTCTCAACTAACTTGTTCGCATCTGTAGGAGTCTGCGCTCACAAGCGCGCGCACACACGAGGACGGTGCTCTTTTTGTCATTGCTCTTGTTTTTACATCTTAAATATCAAATGAAAGATAAATATAAAACGTTTTGAGTCACGTTGAAATGACCTCATCATTAGCAGCGCGGGCCAGCATGACAAAAGTCTCCGAAGCGGCAAGACACGACGGAGCCAAATAGGCAGACCGAGTATCACAGTGTGAATTCAGTTTTGACACACGCGATTCAAAAATTCATGCGTGCTGGGAGCATCACCAAATACAATGAGCCGTTGCGACACATGCAATGACAAAAAAACAAAAAAAGAGGAGGAAAAAAAAAACCCAGCTCCTGTTCAACACAATGTCTTGGAATACCTAACACGAACGAGGGCAAGACAAGCAATCCATGCAAATGGTGACAAAAATAAACAAATAATGTTTTGCACATTAACTTCCTTGAAACGATCCAATCATTGTTTTCTCACTCTCCGGTCTGCAATCGGAGTAGATATGAAACCTCTAATTCTCTGGATCCAGATGCTTTTATTTTATTTTATTTTTTTAATTAAGGAAAGGTAAAGTCTGGATCTGGATCCAGACAATTTTATTTTGTGCAACCACAAAATTAAATGGAGAAAAATTCAATGCACTGTTTTTTTTTTTTTCAGTGGCGTATATCTATTTGAAAAACAGAAACGAAATATCACTTGGACACCTAAACCGGAATGGGGGCACACTTTGAAAAACAGAAACGAAAAACGAAATATCACTTTGACACCTAAACCGGAATGGGGGCACAAAAAAAGGACAAACAGATCGAAAATGAAAATAGAGAACGCTAAAAACAAACAAACTCATCCTCCCTCTCCTCACTTTCTCTTTTCAGCTCAAACTGTGGTGTCCAAACTAAGGCCCGGGGGCCATTTGATATGGGCCACAAGGTTAGTTTCAAAAGGTGAAGATGGCCACCCCCCAAAAAATCCTCAACATTTTCCTTGACACCTTCAACAGAAAGTTGATGGAATGAACAATACCATACAAACAATATCAAATGGCTTTCTTGACTGACTTTAGCGTGTTTCAAAAAAGTAGCCCTTTTGTCCCTTTCATCCTTCCATTTTTCTATTTCTCCAACAAAAAAGTTTAGACACCCCTGATCTAAAATATCTTACCTTCTATCATCTGCAGCCTGTCTTTAGGTCTTATATCATAGGATAAAAAAATATATTTTATATATATAAAATAAACAAAATCAAGGAAACCGTTTCACTTCATTGATTGTTTGCTCTTTTGCGTGTGATTGTCCTGCTAGAAAGAGTTCAAGCAGGAGTGGGAGTATTCAGGTATTGAATGGATGGCACATGACCAAAATACGCGGTACTGTTCCAGCGCAGCTTGTTTCAAAACAGTGTCGTGAACATTGGATTAATTATATAAAATAAACAAAATCAAGGAAACCGTTTCACTTCATTGTTTGTTTGCTATTTGGCGTGTGATTCTCCTGCTAGAAAGAGTTCAAGCAGGAGTTGGGAGTATTCAGGTATTGAATGGATGGCACATGACCAAAATACGCGGTACTGTTCCAGCGCAGCTTGTTTCAAAACAGTGTCGTGAACATTGGATTAATCTGATATGTATTCATCATGGGGAAATATGATGCCATTTGTCAACAGTGGTCGATGATCATGTCATTGTAATGCTTCCAATTCTCCTTTGGCTCTCTAATTTCAATAGACCGAGTTTGGCCTCTTGTTTGTTCTTAATGCTACACAAAGCACTCGGCTGTGGGGTTCCAATAAATAAATGAGAAGATGCAGGGAAACTAAAGCGAGGCTGTAAAGATGATGTAAAGACAGGACTGCAAATGCTCAGTCGCAATGAAAAGGCTGCCCTCTGCTGGCCAAAGTATTTCCTTGGCGATGACGCCTCGACGCTGCTCATGACATTGCCTTCGCTGGGGGTCGACCGGCACAAGAGGCAACGATGAGATTTGCCCTTTTCATTTCGGAATTTCAGGCCGGGCACGTTTATGACAAGCAGGTGCTGCAGATGCAGTTTCACGACTTACTGTAACCCTTTCGGGGACAGCTTATCATGTTATCAGGTGACGGGGTGCGCGAAAAGGGTTCGGGTCCACCTTCAGGCCGGGCACGTTTATGACAAGCAGGTGCTGCGGATGCAGTTTCACGATTTTGTACGCTCACTTGCCGTAACCCTTTCGGTGACAGCTTATCATGTTATCAGGTGACAGGGTGCGCGAAAAGGGTTCGGGTCCACTGTCCTTTGGGCCCCAGAATCCCACCTGCGACCAACCCGTTGCTGTTACCTGCACTGCGATCCAAAGAATGGATTCCCGGTCCGCCGGAAGAAAATGGCTCATTTGGTTTGAAGGGATTGATGCCACAGGGGAGACTGACGTTTTGCGGCTCCGAAGCCAGGAGCCCGATGGTTTTCTGCGCGTCCGCGGCCTTTGCCATCCCCACCTGGCCGAGGGTGGAGTGCACGTTTGTCTGGAACGGCGGCAAGCTGGAACCCGCATTGCCGCTCATTCCGGACTGAGAGAATCCTGGAGGAGAGAAAAGCCAAAACGTGTTCGTCAGGCATCCTTGAACCGGTCACACTCACAGTCCCGCGGCTCCTTAGAATAATTTCTCATTTGGCGGTACCTGGTCTAACATCTATTTCAGAGCAACAAATGTTTGGGAATCGCTTTCATGAAACGCTTGCACAAAACAAATCCATTTCTAATTCTGTTGGTTGCATTTCATTTGACTTTGCAACGGAGGGGAAAGATGAGATGCAAAATAAGAGAACCTAGAAATGAGTCGGGCGTGCTGGTGTCCCTTGTCTTGTTCTGGTTCCACCGGTCACTCGTCCCGCCAGTCATAGGACCTCAGAAAGCAAAAGCCAGGTAGACAGATTGAGAACGTTTCTTATCATTGACAGCCATGCGAACCCCCACCAATTTGCGCTTTGCTATTCATGGTTGATCTTCGGTTATTCCCCGGCTATTCACTGAAAGAGTCACCTCTTCAACGTTTTCTTGTGCTTTTTCTGCAATACGTGTCAACCAATGGTGAAAGGATACACGTATCCGGATTGAAAATAGCACTTTGTTTGACATGCAGGGAAACCTTCTCTCTGGCGCATCAACATGAAACAATGCGTTTTTGGGCAATATGGCTGCCCATATACACATATACAGTATATACACAGTATATTCATTTTTATTTTTTGACTCATTTTTCAAAATAAACACAAAACACCGAAGTCGCAAAAATATGAAGCGCAAATTGGTGAGGGATCATTGCATTAAGTGCCAAATAAATGATTTTGCATGAAGAAACTCTTACCAGACAGGTAGTCGGAAGCGAATGCTGGCTGTCCAGGTGGGTCTTGGCGCCCACCTGGTAACATCACCGATGAAGTCATCCCGAGTCCTGTCGAAGAAAAACACGTCATCAAGAAGGAGACAGTTGACAGTGTCTGGGTGGAATTCTCTCCCAAGCTCCTGACTTCAGCCACTTCGGAGGCCACCGGGGGCAACAGTTTCCTTCAGGCATTTGCTCACTGGCGTCATTGTGGAAGAGGGAAACAAGCTTGTCATGCTCAAACACTTTTTGTCCCTCTTATTGAACTCATCCCCTGATAAGATCCAAACATGAAGTTTGTCACTTGCACATCAAATATTTTTCCAAAACTGGCTACACCAGCAAGTAAGTGTGTGTCTCTCTCTATTTCTCTCTCTGTCGTGTGAGTATTTGTGCATCTTTGACAATGACACATGCCGACAAAACATGTCGCTGAAGGGCCCATCGTCATGGTTACACCAGAAGAGGACGACAGCATCAGCGGCTCCTTCGGCCACACTAGCTCTTGGCAGTAGTGTCTCAGAATCATCACAGTTGGTTGCGTTGTTGAAGGACATACCAGTGAGACACACACACACACACACACACACACAGTGACACAAATGGTATACAATTATGGGCATATTGCTGCCCAAGATGCAAAACCTCTTATCAGGTTTGCACACACACACACACACACACACACACACACACACCCAACCCACACACACACACAAATGTTATACAATTATGGGCATATTGCTGCCCAAGATGCGAAACCTCTTATCAGGTTTGTGGGCAGATTGTCTGATTTCAATCAAGTCAGATGATGAGGCATTCGAGGCAAGGTTGCTATTATTCAATATTTTTAACATAGTACAGCGGTTATACAGTCGGAAAAAAAAAAGTTATGTGTCCTCAAAAGCATGTCTTTCAGAAGGTTTGTCAAGGAAAGTGCTTTTTTGGGAGGGATTGTTTTTTGGGGGCGTCAATATTTTTAACATAGTACAGCGGTTATACAGTCAGAAAAAAAAAGTTATAATGTGTCCTCAAAAGCATGTCTTTCAAAAGGTTTCTCAAGGAAAGTGCTTTTTTGGGAGGGATTGTTTTTGGGGGGCGGGGGGATGACGGGCGGTTGGGAGCTTTCGGCACGCATATGTGAGAATGGCTGAAGAAGTCCAACGATGAATACTGTACTCGGCTGTCAGCACCTCGCTTCAGCTTATGACGAGACGCCGGACATGGCGCACATAATCGTGATGTGGCGTACAATATTTAAAAAGTGACTTGAACAAAAGGGGAAATATTGGGGAGTACACGGAGCAACTTGGACAGATGCTACGTTTGCTGACTGCAAAGTGAGTAGCTGATGAGCAAACATGATGTCATTAGTTAAGTCAACCAGCAATTTTTCTTGACAACAATAGGCTCCATGCAACCCCACTAGTCTAAAACACGGCATTTGGATTAATATCACATTGGTGGAATATGAGTTCAGCGTTTTTGTTCATCTCAGTGGGCGGCCATTTTGACACTTGCTGTTGACTGAAAATAAATTCACAGTTTCTCAGGGCTCAGGTAACAACCAGTCATGGCTCTGCTTCAGAAAACTGGCCTAAGAATAACACAGCATATTATTTAAAACAAAACAAAAAGAAACAAAAAAAAAAAAACACCGTGGCAGCAGTGAAAATTGTTAATGCAGGACCTGGACGACTTAGTTTGAATAATGGAAAAATGAATTCCGTGTTCTACCAGAAAATTTGGTGGGTATACGTGATTTGCTGCATGCCTGCATGAAAAGTTTCAATTGGGCTGTGTAAATGTATATATTAAAAAAAAAAAACAAAAAAAAAACTTGGAGTACCAGTGATTAGGATCCTGGGAAACAATCCATATCACACACGAACAGGAGAGGTAAAAAGGCCAAAAAGATGGTCAGCGTGTAAGGGGCTAAAGACATGGCACCCACATACACACCGAAGGTGGGGGCAGCACAGCTCTGGATCGAGTGAGGACAGCTGTCATTCTCCAGGCTCAAGGTCAAACTCCTCCTTTTAAGCCCAACTACATTTCTGCATCACTAAACTGAAAGCCCTTCGTACGTTTCTCATGCAAGTAAAAGCTTCCAAAGTGGGGTAGGACCCCCAAAATAGATAGCCTCTGTGTGGGTGGGAGTGAGTGGTTTTAGATCAACATCATGTACTGCAGTATTTCGTAAGATGCAAAGCTGACCTTTTCTGTTTGAATCACAGTGCAGGTATGCGTTTACAGAGTAATACCGAAAGGCTCTTGAAAAGCCTAACCTGTAGAGATTTGCAGATATGATTCTGTTCGGGCACGGAGCTCAGAGAGGTAAGGTGGGGCCAGGCCATTTCCAGATTTGAAAACAAATCTAATAAGATCTTCAAAAGAACTTGAAAATGAGCCAGTGAAGGGATGCCAGCGTAGGAGTGAGGTGCTCCCTCTTACGAGTACCAGTCAAGAGGTGAGCAGCGGCATTCTGGACCAACTGGAGATGTTTGATGGAGGATCGGCTGACTCCAAAGTCAAGTGCATCGCAGTAACCCAGCTGAGATGTGATGAAGGCATGAAGGACCGTTTCAAAATGTTCACCAGAGAAAGGAGAGGCTTGACTTGAGCCAGCTGCCATAGATGAAAGAAGCAGGATTTGACAACGGCGACAATTTGCAGGTCCAATTCCAAAAATCGCTGTCCAATGTCAGACCCAAGTTGAAGAGACTGTTGGCTTCGGATAAGGAGTCGGGGGGCCCACGTCCGCAGGTTGGCTTGTCCGACCAAACGCCATCACTTCTGACTTCTTTTCGTTGAAATTCAAGAAACTCAAGTGCCATCCGGATCTTGATTTGCTCCAGACAGGATCAAAGTGGTCCCACCATATCTGCTGGGCTCAGCGCACTTTGGTAGCCGTCTTAGTTATGAGCTCTGACAGCTTAGGACAAGGTGCGTGGATGGCTGTGCGTGTGGAGTTGTGTGTGAGTGGGCGCATGACAGGAGCAAACGCTAACAGCTTGAATGACTGTCAGGGTGCTGATGCTGAAGTTCCACTCTACTGCAGTCACATGCGATTGCCGTGTGTATCACGTACACACGCATCCATACACAGAGATGACCAGCCAAAAGAAACCTCCACACAGCGGAGAGCAACAAAACCGCTGGACAGAAAATCAGAATGACGGTTTCCTCAACAGCACCGCTGACCTCCCACAACACATGGTGAGACATTTGGCAAATCCTAGCGATCACGTTTACCCTGCGGCTGTATGTGACATTTTGCACAGAAACTAAGCGATGACTTTTAGTCAACATCCAGTGGTTGCATGATCCGTCTTGGAATCATATACTGTACCGGCAACACCATCGGCCAAAGGTTGTGTGCAATGACACACAAAATAAGCTGTTTTCTTTTTCTTCACACAGAAAGAAACACTTTCAATCAAAACAGCATTTCCTTAAGTGCCTGTAGTGACTCACCACTCTTGCCGTCCTTTCCATCCAGTAAAGGTCGGTAGTCACTTTTGGTCATCGTCTCTCCCACCTTGTCGTCATAGCTCTCTTTCTCCAGCGCGCTCATAAAGTCTCTCTTCATCAGAGCCTCTGCAGGGGCTCCACCTGGGACACCACCTCCACCCCCACCCAGAGCATCTCGCAGGCTCAGGTCCATAGTCTTCTAAGTGAGGAGATAAAATGGAGACACACGCAAACACACACACACACACACACACACACACACACACACACACACACACACACACACACGCTTGTTAATCTTACTTGGAATGGGGCTATTTTTTAACTTTCAAAACTCAAATGCATTTCGAGAGCAATTTAAAAACAACCACGGCTGTATACCAAGTGCACATGGAGCAAAATAATTCAGACAACAAACAGTCGAAAGCACAAAAACAGTCAAACTAAAAATCACGTCTCATGCTGAGTCAAAAGCCAAAGACTAAAAATGAGTTTGAAGAAGAGTTTTAAAGAAGGGCAGGCAGGGGGCTTGCCGAACGTTCATTCCAAAGAGGGGGAGCGGCCACGGAATAGGCTCCCCATCCCCTCGGTGGTATAGGGAACAAACAGCCCATAGTCCACAAAATTAAAAACTTTTCATACATTGTCACAAAACATGTGAAATGATACAAATATAAGGTATAAATTGTGTCCTGACACTTTGACACCGTAACCTCGAAACAAACTTCTCATTCTTTTGGACAACTGTTTTTTTTTTGGGGGGGGGTGGGGGGGTCCAATCCCTCCAGTAAGCCTCCCAGCGCAACAAGTTGTCATTGTATCAACTACAGAAGACAAACACACACACACACACACACACATACACACACCCATATACAATGGCCAGCAGCCAGTTTGAAGGCATGCAGTAGTGTCGTCAGGGAACTGTAAGCCATTGTTTTAGGGAAATGGCGCAGCACGGAAGAGACCAATTGTCAATGTATTTTTTCCACTCCTCTGTCTTCTTCAGCAGAGAATGAAATAATGGCTCATGAAACCATTTCATTATTCTAACATCTAAAGGAGGTTGTCCTGAAGAGGCAGTGGCTAACCTTCATAATGCTCTCAGCGTATTAGTCTGGAATAATTCATCAGTCCGTTGGAACAGTTTCATAATCTAAAATATTCAGTGGCCTGAATTTAGAGCTAATTAATTGTCTCTCGTTCATTCTGCACAGGTTTGCTTTTTTTCCAAGTGCAATATACATATATTTGTAAGAAACTACTGTATTTGTGTGTGCTATCAACTAAATAAAATATAAGGGAGCAGATACAGTGAGAACAGCGGAGGCCCCAGAAGTGAACCCTGTGGAACACCACATGACAAGTGGGCATTTCGTGACCAAGGCTAACACAAAAAGTTGCTGTCAGCTAAATAGGACCTGGACAGTACATTCAGGAACCATCTTTGAATTTTAAGACCACCTCCATAAAACTTTGATTTATGACGATGATTATGAGAACCATTGTTCTTAGAACCAAAATGTTGTAGTGGAGTGGATGTGAAGACAATGTTTGAATAACATCTCAGATCTCAGAAGACAATAACTGCCATTAGAAAAGGTCAAGCTCCTTCAACTGTATTGTACTGTACAAGCAAGTACATACCATAATATGCTCATCTCCTTGTGGTACACATAAACTACATTAGATTTGGTTACCATGGTAGAAATATTTGGCTATATTAAGCCTCTTTCAATAGCAGTTCTCTGTAGCGGGTGGCATTATGATGTAACCGGTGGCAAGCAAAAACCTGTGCATGTCTAAAGTGGGTGAGGAAGGGGTTGGGGGGAGAGAGAGAGAGAGAGAGAGAGAGAGAGAGAGAGAGAGAGAGAGAGAGAGATGTGGAGGAGGAGTTGTAAGACAGCTGTTGAGCTCTGAGAGATTAAAAACTATCCCGGTATTCACAATCCCTGGCTTCCAGCATCCGCCACCTCTCCCGCTCTGAACCCAAGCGCCTGCTACATAATCATCTCATCCTCTAAAGCACTGGGAGCTCTCACGCAAACTACGCACATGCACATCAACACACACAGCAGGCAGTCTTTGGAGGAGAAAATATTCTGCTGCACCTTTTGTCGACAGGGGACTACTTTTCTCAATTGCATGCATTCGATTCATTCAAGGGCAGCTGTTTAACATGCTACCAAACATTTATTTCAGCGTGCAATGAGCTCTTGTAGGGCCTGCTTCTAAAATCAATCAGGTGACACCGTTCCCGCTTGCCATTGTCCTCACAACCTCATGATATAATCACACCGTCATGATACAGTCGGTGTTAGGTTGAGATGAAGCAGATTTATCAAAACAATTATGAGGTAGCATGTTTCATTCAGAGCGCATCCAAGTGTCTTAAAAAGGTCAGAGTCGAAAGGATTAGTTTTGAAAACAGTTAGTTACCGGCTATCCAGAGGTTCGCCGGGCTAAGTGATGAGTCGTTGTACAACATCCGTGGTCTTAGCCGGTGATGTAACGGCAATGAACGGAGAGGTTCGTGGCCCCCAGGAGAAGCTCTTTTCTGCTTTCATGGGATTATATTCATTGGAGAAGCAAGAAAGAGGCAGTACACTAGAAGCCTGATGATGGGCTTGTTACACCTGGCATATATGTAGCAACATTTCAGAAAAAGAACATCACACCAATAGTCAAACGAGGTGGTGGTGCTTTGATGATCTGGGGCCGCTTGCTTATGCAGGGCCTGGACCAAGTGTTGCGATTGATGGAAAAATGAATTCGGGCAGTCAGTCACCAGAGTGACTCAGCATCTCATCAAGGTGTCCTTCTTGACAGGCACAAGCGCTGACACGCACGCACACACGCAAACACGCATGAGGCTGTCCGGGAATGAAAACTGTATAGATATTTTATTCAACCTGCCGACAGACTCATTTCTTAAAACTTATGTCAGCGGTATGGATGTCACAATGTTTGCTGCTGAAGGCCATGGTGGATACAGAAGCACGGGCCGGCCACGTCATTTTATGTGGCCGGCAAAAGCAAATCATGCATGTCAAGTTGCGTGATCCTTGCTTAAATCTGTTCCGAAATGTCAAATTGTGAAGTGAAATAAAAAAATATAATGTTGCAATCATTTTATTCCTCTCTCTACACTCACTTGTACAATAATTGAGCAACCAACAAACAGCTGACTTCAAAACAAGTCATCCATCAATTTGTTGTGTACAAGTCGTAACGCGATGAGACGATGACGTAACCCTTTGTTCTGTTTCACTGTCGCAAAGGCCTTCCGAGGGAAGACGTGACTCCAAAGTGGCCCGCGACAAAAATGCGCCAGACGCCCGCCCCAGCACTCAGTGATAACCGCACGTTCCGGCGATGAGGTTCCGCAATCCACCGACGACTGGGGCCTTAAAAATTGTCTTTTGGGAACAATGCGGCTGTTTGATCACATCCCCGTTGTACTGCCTGTCCCTGCCTGATACACTGCTGTACTGAATAAGGGAGCACATTTCCCGTACAAGCAAGCTAGTAAAACAGACAAAGCTGCCTTTGTTTTGTCTTGCAACACCAAGAGATAGGCCTACGACTGCCTTTTTATTCGCTCACCTAATACAAAGTACATGACTCAGACCCCATGGATGATCGGCAAAAATCGTGGGCTGGGCCAAGTGTACTCCATGACCCCAAACAAACCGCTTGCCCGCTTGATTGGTAATCTGAGAGGGATTGAATATAATCTCACCAATCCCCACAGTACAAATTATATATCATCATGTCAAAAGACGCATCACATATTAGTCCGCGGGCCCTGTGGATTTACGTTGTCGTTTGCTGAGCCGGTGGGAGTCAAACGTTATTGGGAAAAAAGGATACGATGGCTTTGCACTTGCTGCAAATGTCCACGTTATTTTACAATATTGTATTTTCTTTCGTAAATGAACTGCTCGGCCTGGCCGATCAGAGATGCCGTTAAGGCGGTGATATCTGTCTTGACCAAAGAGAACTGCTGTACTCTCTGCCACGCGCGGGCTCGTTTTTCAGGATTTGTGCTTCAGTGGCGACGATTTAGAGGGCAGCCAGGTTGAAGTTTTCCTCAAAATGACATGAAATGAATGGCCATTTTTTTTCTGATGTGTTCTCTGTGCATTTATAAAGTAGAAGAGACGACAAACTAAATCAAATATCCATTCATCCATCCATGATCTAAACCGCTTTGTCCTCACGAGGGTCGGGGGCATGCCGGAACCTGCCCCGGCTGTCTTCGGGCAGGAGACACGGGACACCCTGAACCGGTCGCCAGTCCATCGCAGAGCACACGCAGGCGAACCACCGTACGTGCTCACACTCGCACCTCGGGACCATTTCGAGTGTTCCATTCACTTGTCATGCACGTTTTTGGAACATGGGAGGAAACCGCATGACGAACGACTCAGAGTCTTTGTGCATGCGACCAATGAGAGCTCCAGTGGATCTAGCTGATTAGGTTCCCCCACCCGGTCAGCTGTTTTTTCAGACATGTCACAAGGAAGCAGTGACAGTTCAGACGAAGGCTGCTGTGACAGCTGAAAAACTGCCAGCTAGGTAAGAGGGTTTTTTCTTCACGAAAAAAAAGACCATGGCGCTACCCATCGCAATGTTTTTGTCTAGTTTGAAAACCTCAGCTACGCCGTCAGCGCCTCCAGCAGAAGAGTCTCCGAGTGATGCGAAAGCCTGTACGAGTCAAGCGAGAGCCGCAAGCCCCTTCACCTATCTCAGAAGGCAATGTTGCCGAATTTTAATTACTGGAGAAGGTTTTGTAATTAAAAATTGAAGTCAATCCGTGTACTGTAGCAATCTTTGTCTTCAGTATGTCAAGTACAAATAATGTGGACATATTTTAAACATTCTGTGACCCACATAGAGAAAAATTCCTCATTCCAAATACTACCTTGCGGTTTTCACCTTTCGCGGGCGGATTCTGGTCCCCTTTTCCGAACACGGCCACGTCCCCATTTCTGAGAGGGTGTGCGCACTTGTGCAACCACATCATCTCAGTTGTTTGTTTTGAATGCCCCTACGCGAAAATCCATCACACATTTGAGAAAGTCACAAAGGAAATTTGGCGTTTTACTTTTGTACATTTCTCAAGCATCCATCCTGGAAGTGACGCTGCCGCTTCAAGATGCGTTTCATCGACGACGACAATGTCTGCAATCTTTTCACTCTTGACATATACACGAGAATGGCCCCAGTCCACGATCTCTCCCTTCATGTAACAAGAGAGACATCTCGATGGACAAAACAATGTGTAGGCCTCCTAATCCTCACAGAGAGGATACAGGATGTGAGAACGTGCCTTTGTGCGTGTTGAGGGGCATCATGGACGACAACATCGCCACAAAAATTCGCCCTCTTTACCTGAAGGCTGCATAGGAAGAGAAAACGATTTATATGACCAGAAGAGACGTCATTGAATAAAAGCAGGAAAGTCGATGGAAATGCAGTCCGGGATCTCTCATTTTGAGATTTCGTGGCCAACACGTACACATCGCATTTATGCCTTTTTTGGGGGGGGGGGGCAGAAAATCAGAAGCTCCGCAGCCTCATCAATTTCAACATGTGCGTGGATCAGCAGCACCGTAACAAAGAGGAACGAATTCAAGGATCTCCGCAGGAGACAGACAACACGCCCACCATACCATGATCTGCCATCGTAGATGGGGAAACGTCGTACGCGTACGACAAATACATCTCGCGACACCGCCATCTGATGTCCTACGAATAGGCCGCATCCATATTGGTTAAACACCAGACCCCCAAACTGTATTGTCATCGTTGTCGCACGCATTTCATCACTTCGTTCAAAGGATGGTGCAGAGCGCTACAGATAAACGGGATTTCACACGCGATGACGTGACAGCACGACTGGTACAAAATGAAGAAATAAACTCACTTACGGTGCAGGTGCGTCTTGTTTTCTCGTGGCGTGTTTGTGGCTGTCAGTCAGAGGGAGATTAAAATATCTTTCCACCTTTCTCTGCTCAAAAAAAAAAATGGTGCCAACTGAGAAGTCAGATCCGCCCACAATAGCCGCTCGAACCAATCGGAAGCACAGAAGAGAAAAGCAATTCGGACGGTACTGTTGCCTTCAAATACACTCGTACAAACGACTATTTCCCCGAACGTAACATCCAGGTGCGAAGATTCAGTTTTCGAATTTGGGAGTACGGACTGTCGTCGGGTGACAATTTCTCATTATTCATTTGATGTCTTCATCAATCAGCCATCAAACACAAAGTGGGAGAAACTATTTTTGCCTCTAAAATGGAATTGTCTTCCCGACCGTGTTTTGAAGAGAAATGGTGTTGTTCTTTGAATCATAAATGGTTCATTCTTTGAATTCTTTGAATACAGAGAGAGAAAGTATATAAACCAATGTATTAGTAGTCAAGGCACCTATTTTTCTGACGAGCTCCCTTCTCGCTCTGCTCACCTTCACCTTTTTTTTAACTAACTGTGCAGCCCATGACAAATATCGTTTTTAATGTTTTTTTTTTTTGTCCTGTCGTGGGCCACTGAAAAATGGACGGGCAGGGTGCAAATGGCCCTCGGGCCATCGGTTGGACACCCCTGCTATAGAGTATAATATAAAGTAGGCCACACAGGCCAGATGTTGGAGATCTGTCGACCAATCCAGAGGAGTCTCCAGTGGACCTCATTCATGTGGTGTTGATGACCTAAATAAGGAAGAACCCCTGCAGTTCTGGAGCTTAGTTTAGAGATTGACACAGTAAAATGTCGCATGGATCATTTTCAAAAGCCTCCTAAAACTCAAAAAATGCATTCAAGCCAAATGGGGTATCGTATTGAAACTGGAATTTACAAAGAGATTGTCTAGACTCGAGAAGTGCCACGACATTTTCACCGATTCACAATGAAATAATATCGATCTTAAAAAAGCGAGCGAGCTTTGGGGGATTGGGAAATTTTGGGTCAGTGATGTTGCCTGCCAAAACCAACCCAGGGGGTGCGGCGGAATGAAAGATTTGGAGGGGCGTGTGGGGAAAGTTGTCGGAGGGATTTGCAGTGAGGCTGTGCAGGGGGTGTCTGGGTTAGATTTTGGGACTAGACACGACTGGGGTATTGGGGATGCTCGATGAGATTATTTGACCTGGAAAAATAGACTGAGGTCTACACAAGGAACCTTCAGCATTGCTGTTGTGGGGGTTTGTGTGTGGACCCGCTGGCAGTTCCATTTTGCAGTTCACAGTGGCTTTTTTAATTCCCGTTTTGACATTCAGCCACCCCTAACTTTTCTACTTGACATCGTGATAATGACATCCGTCGGTCGAGCAGTGCATGGCGGCACCTCCAACAGGCAAATTTCAGAGCAAGACAAAAACTTGTGTAGAAAGCATGCAATAATTCTGGATCTTGGCGTATTTTGACAAAAGACTGTGTTGACCGAAGGACACTTGGAAAACTTTTAGAAGAGTGGAACTGCTAGTAATATGCATCCATCCATTTTCTGATCCGCTTCTCCTCACGAGGGTCGAAGGGCATGTCGGAGCCTATCCCAGCTGTCTTCAGGCAATGGCGAGGGGAGGGGGGACACCCCGAACGGGTTGCCGGCCCATCGCAGAGCGCACATAAGACTAAAAACCATCCGCGCTCACACTCAAGGACTATTTCGAGTGTTCCATTGACCCGCCATGCATGTTTTGGGAATATGGGAGGAAACTAGAGGACCCCGAGAAAACCCACGCAGGCACGGGGAGAACATGCAAACTCCACACAGGAAAGCCGGAGCCTGAATCGAACCCTGCACCTCTGCACTTTCAGGCCCACGTGCTAACAGGTCGACCGCCCGGCCGCCGAAACCCGCCTGAATCGAACCCTGCACCTCTGCACTTTCAGGCAGGCCCACGTGCTAACCGGTCGACCGCCCCGGCCGCCTAAACCCAAAAAAAAAAAACAATGAGCCCTAAAACAACATGGACACACAGTACCCTCTTGTGGACAAAAAGTGCTTGTGCAACTTTCATTCAGAAAAAAGGAAAGTCATGGAACTTCATTTCCATTTTCAGCATGTCACTGAAGGGGGAAACAATGCAATTTGCCAAATTTGAATGGATCTTCTGCGCTGGTAGCATGTCTTCAGCTTCCACTTAGTTTGGCCTTGGAGCAGGCGTGTTCACTCCTCAATGAGTAAGTCACAAACTGATTAAATTGCAAATCTAACATATCAGGCTTTCACATACTGTCGGAATGGAAATTTAAATACGACCACGTAGATGTTAAACACAGCAGATATACATAAGCAAGTCACATATTAACAAATTGCATTGATCTACTCATCCATTTTCGAATCATCCTCCCAAGGGTCACGAGCATGCCCGAATCGAACCCGGCACCTCTGCATTGTGAGGCGGGGGGTGCCAACCGGTCGACACAATGAGCATTTAGAATGATAAAAATAAAACAGCTCTTTTATGACGACTGTATCCTCAGACGTTGGTGGACAGGTTGGAGGAAATTGTCGATTCCTTCCACTCAAGCCTCCTGCGCTCCATCTTTCATGACTCCATTCACTGGTGTCCTGCGGCAAACCATGTTTGTATGACTAAGCCTGTGGGTGACGCATCGCTTTCAACTCTTTCAATTAACTGAGGCAAGCAGTGAGCCAAAGGAGACACAGGCCCGCTCCGATAAGGCACATGTCCGAAACACGTACGGCGACAGAACAAATGTAAAACTTCCTGCGCATAGGGCCCGGCCATGCGTAAGTGGGTCTGTGCTTATCTGCATGTGACATCACTGCAGCCTTCACACACAAAGGGAACGCTACCCCTAGCTTCAAAAGAAGGAGACGGAAAACAGACAGGGCAACAGTTTCATGGGTTTAGTGTTTGCTCATGCGTATTCTGCCCATGACACTAATTTGAACGTTGATAATGTACCATTTTTAAGTATTATACATTTTACTTTTTTTTTTTTTTTTTTTTAAATGATCATGCAATTTCAGTTGTGGAATATTTACATAAACTACAGTTCTATTTTTGATTTGAACTATTTTGATAATATTTCATCAATGAAAGCACGGATCATTGACATCAGGGGTCCCCGACCTTTGTTGTGTCACGAGCACTTGAGACAAGTATGTGCTTGTCTTTTTTAATCGCTTTTAAATGGCCAGTTTTAGAGCAACGGTACTGACAACAAAGATAATTATATAATCATGAAACGTTTTCTCAACATGTTTTTCATTCCTTTCAAACAGTTGTTTCAAGTTCAAGTCAACTTCATTGTCAAATGTGCTTGATGTGCGACATAGAGCACTGATGAAATTTCTTTCCTCTTGACCACAGGAGAGAGAGGAGCCGCTGCGGGTGTCCGCCGCTCATGTTGACGCGGGCAAACTATCGCAAGCATTTTTCACACTTTTCACTTGATCACTCGGGTGCAACTCGTTCAAATGATTCAACGGGTTTCTTGTATCGCTGTTGTTTTTGTCGACATACAATGCGCAACAGCTTCCTCCTCCACATCGCTAGCGGAGGAACTTGTCTCGTCCAAATAGCTTCATCTTGGGAAGTCACGGTTGCCCATCAGCTGGCCGTTTCGCTGTACGTTTGGTTAATTTGCGTCATGGGTACTTTCCGTTTACCGCTTCTTCTTTCATTTATTGGCGCATTCTGTTGATTTCAACTAGCAAACCAATGCGAGAACGGCGACTCCTATTAGCTAGAGTCGCGTGCATTTCCGCCACCCCCGATGACGTAAATATTCTTGATCAGATCATCACCCTGCCCTATTTATGTTGCCGCTTGGAAGGTAATAGACGGCGTTGGAGGGTGTGGGGCTGGGGAGTGTTGACTGAAGCTCAGCAAAAACAAAAACAACAAAAAAAAGATCTCGGTCTGTCTCTGTGCGGCCTGGGACCAAGTTCATTGCAAGACCAGCACCAGCACGAAAACACAACGCAACCGAGACAGGCTTTTTTTTTTTTTTTTTTTTTAAAGCAGGGATATCATAGCGCCCATTTCTACAGTATGAGTCTTAACTGTGTTCCTGTCATGCAAGAACCTACTGGCCCATTGTTTTCATAACACCCATCCAGCGGAACGGACATTTACCTCCATTACCCCCTCATGTTTATCTCCACATGTGGCCCAGAATAACCTGTCACTCTGCAGCCACTGTTCACCCGTTTCCTCCAATAGCGTGAGTCTGCTATATCGGGGGGGCGGGAACTCAATTAAAACAGGATAGAAGGAGGAAAACAAGATGTGACTGTGAACTGGCTTTCACAAAGGACAGGAAACTTAAGAGACATGGAGGGGTGGTAGAAGGAGGAGGCCTGAAAGGGGGGGGGGGCGGCGGGGGGATTGAAGTCCGTTCAGCAAAGATGTTTGAAGAGAGCAGAACAAAACTAGCAAGAAGAAATACAAGGGAGGAAGGAAAGTCCAGACATAAAGGGAGGGGGGGAAGAAAAGAACATGAAAACATCCCAAAATACTTCTCCTGTACCTTTGAAATTCATTTATCAATGCGTTTATCATATCATAAACAGTAGTCTTGGTGTGCGTGTGTGTGTGTGTGTGTGTGTGTGTGTGTGTGTGTGTGTGTGTGTGTGTGTGTGTGTGTGTGTGTGTGTGTGTGCGCGTGCGCGAATCTGTGGTGAAAGCCAAGTCATAATCACAAAAAAAACTCAAAAGTTTGGCTCTCCCATCTTACTGAGTGGACTGACGGGCACAGCTTTGATCTAGGACACGGATTCAAAGCACGTAGCATAAATGGATTTGGTCTGGAACCGAATCAAGGCCTCATACAAGATGGCCTGCTGGATCGAGCAGAGAGTTCCAAGATGACGTACCCCGTTGACAATGTTTTCACCTCATTCATTTTCTATTTGCTTACAACGATCACCTTGAGAACGCCAATTTCATGAGGACGACCAGATTTATTTCCCCACAAAGGAGTGAAAAGGCCTTCGTCGCGACCAACCACGGGAAGATCACCGCCGCCGTGACCTTGATTACAAACAAAATGGACAGCACGAGATTCCCCTCCCTGGCTCGGCAATGCTCA